AACTTTAGCTTAATGAAGCAGTTTTGGTGTATAGAACATGTCCCTGCAGCCTCACTGCTCAATCCTCTGCCATTTAGGAGTTAAATCCATTTGTTTATGAACCCTAGTCACACCTCCCTGCATGTGACTTGCACAGCCTTCCATAAACACTTCCTGTAAAGAGAGCCCTATTTAGGCTTTCTTTATTGCAAGTCCTGTTTAATTAAGATTTTCTTATCCCCTGCTATGTTAATAGCCTGCTAGACCCTGCAAGAGGCTCCTGTATGTGATTAAAGTTCAATTTAGAGATTGAGATACAATTATTTAAGGCAAATTACATCTGTTTGAAAGTGAAACCAGTTTTTTTTTCATGCAGGCTCTGTGAATCATAGCCAGGGGAGGTGTGGCTAGAGCTCCATTAACAGAAACAAAGTGATTTAACTCCTAAATGACAGTGAATTGAGCAGTGAAATTGCAGGGGAATGATCTATACACTAAAACTGCTTTATTTAGCTAAAGTAATTTAGGTGACTATAGTGCTCCTTTAAGATGTCCTTATATACCCATATTTTGCTGTTTCCTTTACTTGATATGCTGGTTGCTTCAGAATTTGTTAGTATTACATAAACAAAAAATACTGCAAAAATAAATAAATAAACCGTTACAATATTGCTTTATTAAAATCTATTTCTGTGTTTTTTACACACATTTTTCAAATTATCATGCTCGAGAGTAATATTTTTTTGTAAAGGTAACAGAGGACATATGAAGATCACAATTTAGCTTCATTTGTACTCTGTTAACTTTACCATAAAATATTAGTGTCAGAAATATTAAACATAGTTTAATAATTCAACTGTCAGGAATTATAGTAGATTTAGAATTTTAGACCAGAAAAGCCTAATCAAAATAGCTCTTTATTTTTTCCATTTCGCTTTTTTGGACTACAATTTGACATTCATTTTCAATACTAAAAGAATTTCCATCACTTCGCACTTTGTTGAATAACTCTATTTTTATGAGTGATTAAACCCTAGTACTTTGGTTAGTATAAAACTTCTCACATCAACAAGGGCTTAGATAAAAAAAAAAAAGTTTATATAGTAGATTAGATGATCACTTTTGCAATTGTTCCCCAGATGCTTTGATTTGCACATGACAATACCTGCTATCACCTTTTCCTGTAATGTACGTATACATGCCCGCCTCTGAACCTCCTGACATCTGCTTACCGAATTTTATTTACTTCTTTATTTAATTATGGTAGTTGAGATGTAGGAACTTCTCTCTTACTTTGAAGAGCCTGTGATTGTTAATGCAGCATAAAGCTTGAAAGTGAGAATTGATCATAAGATGTACACTAGCTAATTCATCTTGTGATTCCTTATTATGAAGGAATTATTGAAAGCGTGTAGCTGTGATGTTCATCCTTCAGTATTTAAGAATATTTCCAAAGGATAATATATCTAACCACTCTTTAGGTTTTTTGCCTTGAGTGAGGCTACTAGAACATTATATTTCAGTTGTATTGCTGTCTAAAATATGCAATACACCTTTCACAAAATATTATTTAAAATAAATTTCACTTGGTAAATAAAATACCATTGAATATACGTTGGTTAATAATATTTGTAGGTTAAGTAGTAATTGGTTCCTCACAATTTTACGAATGTTTTGCCAATTTAAACAATGAACAATGACAAAATACTTATATCTTGAGGCAGTCAGCAACCTGAGGCTTTATTCTGCATTTTACATCTATTGTCACCTGCTTTCACGTGTGCCTTGATGAGAACCTGCTAGTGTCATGGGCTGTAAAAATACAATGGCATCAACACATTGATAGTGAGACCATTTCCTTTCCTCCATTAACTTATCAGGTACTTGTCTCTAAACCTCCAGTCACTGAATTGTAATCTATCCTGAACATTGATTTGCAATGCTCTGTGCTGTAGAATAGAATGAAGTGCCATGCATTTTTTGGACACGTTTTCTTTTAAAGCCTGTGACTATGTCTATGCCATATTTATACATGCAAACACACTCAACGAAAGCTAGTTGCGGGTACCCATAGATATGAGCCCCTATAGATAATCAAATCCAGTTTTCAATAACCCCATTTCTTGAGGGTTTGAAGCTCCCTTTTCTTGTCCAGCAATAATAGGCATGACATTTAGACACACAGCCAGTGCCTTCAAATAATGGTCACCAGCTGTGCCCATCTTTCAAAGAATAGAAAGAACCTAAGGTCTTCAGAAAGGGATGTGATGGCCAAAAGGTCAAAATTGTAATTTTCAGGAAGCATTCCACCTGACTTGGCCTGAGTTTGGTGTGTCCAATGCCCTGTAACAAGGAAAAAGTGAAAGAAAAAAAGTATGCAAACAATGCATTTCACTTTTAACAGACATGTACTGCAATCCATGTTAGAACATATGCATTAAAGCTCACAGTCCTTTAAATGAGCATATTACTTTAAAAAAGTGCCTAGATTCAATTATTTGCTTAGGTTAAGATACTCTGATACTTTTCTAAACTGCATTTTAAAAAGCTTTCATAGTCTGCTTACAACACCAATTGCAGCAAACAAGATGTTATTATCTCAAAAGCACAACTCAAGAGTTATCAGTTCCAATGAAAATGTCTCATAAATCAACTCTATATTTCTTATATTGATCACACTATTTAAATGTACTAGACCTCGTTCATGAGCTTTTTGCATTTTGCGGGTCTTACCAATTATTTCTACAGAGGATGTCACGTTTTTAAGAAATACACACTTACCAGTAGTTTTTATTTCCCCTCTCTGACCAAAGGAATTTTATATGATAACTTAGACCTTTAGATGCTCATGCAACCAGAAAACTCAAGAACTGCCTAATTATCTAATTTCAAAATAATAGTCACATTGCTGTTATTTAACTCATCATCTGTGTTCATATCCAAATTGAGGAAATGACCTATCATGAAATACTTATGTCCAAGGCTTAACAATTTGCGGTACATTTTATTGCTGAATGTGTGTGTTCTGAACAGTTACTTATCTGTTTATAATGTTATCTCAGAAACACATAATATGCTGGGCTGGTTTTACCACTCATGTGGTATTGAAACTATCAAGTTTGTTTGTTATTGCTTAATTCAAGTCACATGCCACTTCCAGCATTCCATTGTGGTAAATGTATTCAATCTGAATTTTTAATGGGACTATAGTTAATTTTTTTCATAAGGACATGTCACAAATGTAACAAATGCAGAGCATGTAGAAAACAAATACTTGGTAAACCTTAATTGAGTGGCATTAAAGGGACACTCCAGGAACTCTAACCTCCACCAAGTGCCGACGTGCAGATAACTTGCAGTGGAGAGATTAGGAGGGATTAATCAACAAAAAATTTGTGAGTATGTGAACGTGTGTGTAATTGTGTGCTTTTGTATGTGTGTTTGACCATGTGTGTGATTTTGTATCTATGTATGTGACAGTACTAAAAACCCTAAATCTCTGCCAAAATCTAAATACGCTATATTGGCAAAAGTATCGTGACACACCTCTTAATTATTGAATTCAGGTGTTTCAATCAGACCCATTGCTGCAGGTGTACAGTCTACATTTACAAACATTTGTGAAAAAAGTGGGTCGTTCTAAAGAGCTCAGTGATTTCAAGCATGGTACTGTGATAGGATGTCACCTTTGCAAAGTCAGTTTGTGAAATTTCATCCTTGCTAGATATTCCATGGTCAACAGTAAGTGGTTTTATTGGAAAGTGGATGTGTTTAAGAAGAGCAGAGACTTTGCCACAAAGCGGAAGACCACATAAAGTCACATAGCGCTGCGGGATTTGTTGGCGCTATATAAATAATAACATAACAATAACATAATAATAATTACAACATAGCGCGGTCACTGAATGCTGAGGGGCATGATGCATAAAAGTCACCAACACTGCTGATTCTATAGCTGAAGAGTTCCAAATTTTTGCTGGCATTAATATCAGCACAAAAACCGTGCAGAGGGAGCTTCATGGAAACAGTTTCCATGCCTAAGCAGCTGCAACCAAGCCTCACATCACCAAGTACAATGCCACTAGACTCTGAAGCAGTGGTTTCATGTTCTATGGAGTGATGGATCACACTTCTCTGTTTAGCATTCCGGTGGGTAAATCTTGGTTTGGTTGATGCCAGGAGAATGTTACCTATCTGAATGCCTTGTGCCAACTGTAACATTTTGTGGAAAAACACTGTTTTTCAGGGTTTGATCTAGGCTCCTTACTTCCAGATTCATTATACCAGGCAACACTTTTTTAAAACTCTTTAGTTAAGTAGCACAGCACAATAGAATATTAAAATGTTGGTCTAATTTTAAACACAGTGGCTTGCACCCAAAGCCTATGAGAGGAAGCAAAACAACCATCCAGAATAGAAAAAGGATAGAACCTGAAAGTAAGAAGGGTTAAGGAAAAAAAAGACTGAAAATTAAAATAAGCAGGGGGAATTTCTGCAGGGAGGGTGTTAGGAAGAGATGTCTCTCTAGCAACAAATGATCATAATAGGCGTGAAAGTAATTCCATGGCAGCCAGGTCATTTGGAAAGTGGGTAGAATTTTACATATCTGTATTGTCAGTTTATTCATTAGATAGATATCCTTGATTTTAAATATTACTCTTGCCATAGAGGAAACATTGACCTGCAACCATGACTGGGCTAGGGCTCTCCTCTTGCCGCTAGAGTGATCTTATATATAATAATAATTTGCGATTTTTTTTTTTTTTATAAATTCTTTATTTTGAGAATTTTAGCATTGTATATGGGGTACAGAAAGAAGAAAATATGGGAAGGGGGTACAACATTATGAAAAGAATAGCATCGTCCCGTGGACCTCATTCCCAGGCTATCTTTATCCCCCTAAGCTGTAGTCTCTCTGCTCTTGATTGGACCGTCGAGGGAGGCGACTGTCTCGTCCCCTCTAGAGGGAGTAGGTGCGGTAAAAGTTTTGAGCTGCGTCTCTGGGCTTGTCCAGCCTATGGCCTAAGTCAGTGTCGTTACTGGAAATTGAGGTCATCGGAGACTTATCGTGTCTGAACATTAAGGGTAAAGCTCAACTGGAGCTAACATGGGATATAAGGCCTATCCTCGCCTAGACATAGCCAAAACACAAAAAAAAACAAAAAAAAAAAAAACACGGGGGGTACGTGGGATTCTACATATCAGTGTAACATCTCCCCTGTACTAGGTGCGTGTAATCTATCAGCGTGTGTGTAGGAGGCGTGTCTATTATGTGGGGCCGTGCTCAAAAAATTCTTGCGTCGAGAAGGAACCCTCCTCCGTCCTCTCTCCCCTCCCTCGCCTGCGCTACACATTGCCCCAGGGGCTCCAGACCTTCCCTACCGATGCTGTCGTCTCATGGACCAGGGCAGATAGCTCATCCATCTCCTTGGACTCCTCTATTTTCCGTCGTACCTCTGATAGAGTTGGGATTTCCATCCTCCCCCAGTGTGCTGCAATGGCCCGTCGTGTAGCGAGGGCTATTTTTGCCACTAGTTTATTCTGTGCCCTATGTAGTGCATCTAGGGGTTTGGACAGCAACCATATCCACGGATCCAGTGGGAGAGCCGTTTGTAAGGCTCTGGAGGTGACGTCAGCTACCCCCTTCCACAATGCTGAAATATGCTCGCATTCCCACCACATGTGGAAGTACGTACCCTGGGCCCCACAACCTTTCCAGCACCGGTCGGAGGTCGATTGTCGCATCTGTTTGAGCTTGAGGGGGGTAACATACCATCTGAGCAGGGTCTTATACGCCTGCTCCTTGTGGTTCACACAGATCGTAACTGATGCCGTTGCCTCCCAAATTTCTGCCCAGTCTGATGGATCAGCCGGTGGGCCCATGTCCCTCTCCCACTCCCTCACGTAAGAAAAGGCCTCCGGAGGGGTGTTTCTAGCAAAGATATCGTAAAGAATGGATATCTGACCTCTCCTTACCGGTGTGTGCATACTCATTTTCTCGAAAGGTGTAAGCTGTTTTGTGGCTGCCATTCTGATGTCCGGAATGGACAAAAAGCTCCGTAACTGGAGATAGCGGAAATAATCAAAAGAGTTGAGAGGGGTAGATTGCGGTAGGTCTGCAAATAGGAGCAGGCGATCACCCTGGAAGAAATGGCAAAGTCTGATGAGGTTATTATCTTCGAAGCGGGCAAAATGTTGAGGTGTCATACCTGGGGGAAATTGCGGGTTCCGCAGAACTGGGGTGAGCGGTGAGGGCGTATTGATAAGGGGGTTTTTACCGTTGACTCTATCCCACACCTGCAAAGACGTCCGCAGGGCCGGCGTGGTGTGGGGTAACTCCGAACGGTGAGGTTTCGGCACCCAAAAATATAACGATGGGTGGTCTCTCCCAAAGAGGTCATGTTCCAGATCGACCCAGATCTTGATCCCCACCGGTGCGTGAAGCATCAGGACTTGCGCCAACTGGGCAGCCTGGTGGTAATCCCACAGATTCGGTAAGCCTAGGCCCCCCCTCCTGTGTGGGATATAAAGAGTGGTTCTTTTGATCCGGATCCTCTTCCCCCCCCAAATAAACCTATCTATCTGTGTTTGCAAAGCTTTAAAATCGGGTCTCGAGATCAGAATCGGCAGTGTTTGGAACAAATATAGAAAACGAGGGAGAAGGGTCATTTTAACCGAGGCTATTCTACCCAGCCAGGAAATGGACAGTTTTTGCCAGTCCGTCAGGTCTTTCTTAGTCTGGTCTATTAGCGGGTGGTAATTCAGTCGATAAGTCAAGTTCAGGTCCGCAGGAAGAAACACCCCCAGATACTTGATGCAATCCGGCCGGAAGTGGAACGGATACCGGGCCCGCAAGGTTCCCTCCAGAGCTTGCGGGAGCTGGATCCCCAGCGCCTCTGTCTTTTCTAGATTCAGTTTATATCCCGAAATCTCAGCGTACTCTGCCATGAGGTCCAGCAGAGGGGGCAGGGATGCCTCCGGGTCCGTCAGGGTCAATAACAGATCATCGGCATAAGCCGCGACCTTGTACTCTTCTTTGCGTATCCGAATACCCTTTATGGCCGGGTTAAGCCTAATCTGTTGGAGAAGAGGCTCAAGGGAGAGGGCGAACAGTAGAGGGGACAGAGGGCATCCCTGCCGCGTACCGTTGTGTATGGCAAAGGAGGGTGGCGAGGTGTTCGGTAGCAATACTCGCGCGGTCGGGTGGGAGTACAAATTACGAATCGTCGTCAAGAACCGGTCGGGAAATCCAAATTTTGCTAGCGTTGCAAATAGGTAGGGCCATAAAATGCGGTCAAACGCCTTTTCGGCGTCCAGGGAAAGCAGTAACGTGGGGGACCCTTTACGTGTGGCTGCCCAGATCAGGTCATATGTACGTCTGGTATTGTCACTGGCCTGTCTATGTTGGATGAAACCCACCTGGTCTGGGTGGATCAACCTCGGAAGGTGGGGTTGTAGCCGATTTGCGAGAAGCTTAGTGAATAGTTTGATATCCACATTGAGAAGCGAAATGGGCCGAAAATGTCCCGGGCTCTGGTGGGCCTGATTCGGTTTTGGTATCAGACTTATATTTGCCTGCAACAAGTCTGGGGGCAGGGCTTCCCCCCTCCCAATTGAGGTGAACAGATCCTTAAGGTGCGGGAGGAGGTCTGCCGAGAACGTTTTATAGTATAAGCCCGAAAACCCATCCGGGCCCGGGCATTTATTGGGGCGTAGGGACTTAAGCGTCTCTGCTATCTCCTCTATGGAAACGGGGGCGTCAAGCGCCTCTCTGGCAGTAGCCGTGAGCTGTGGGAGGGGTATATCACTCAAAAAGCGTGCCGCGGTTAGTTCAGAGGCATGGGGGTCCTGTCCAGTCCTAGGGCTATGGTCATAGAGGTGAGCATAAAACCGATTGAATATCTCCGCTATCTGAGTTGGGTCGTCATGTTGGTGTCCGTCCGGGGCCCTAATCGAGGCTATGCGTTTGCGTAACGATTTACGCCGCAGACAGTGCGCCAACAGAGAATCCGCTTTATTGGATTTCTCATAGAACAATTGTTTGGTCCATAGGAGCGCTTTCTTTGAGTCCCGGGCCATGAATGCTTGTATGGCTTGTCTATGGGTCTGGAGCTGAGTAGTGAGGTCCGGGGTGGGAGTCAGTTTATGTAAGTGTTCTAAGCGTCTAAGTTCGGAAAGGTGAAATGACAACTGCGTCAGCTTCCGTTTTTTGTGTGCTGTCCCCTCCGCAATTAGCGTGCCTCGGATTACTGCCTTATGGGCCGCCCACAACGTGCCATCCGAGTCTACCGACCCTTTATTGGTGGCGAAGAAAGACTGTATGGATTGCCGGACACTATCTTGTATGTGGGGAACATGGAGGAGTGTGGGGTTTAACCTCCAGTGCCACTGTCTGCTCGCCTGGGGAAGTTGGACCGAAAGGGTGATATCTGCATGATCCGACCATGTGATCTGCCCGATGGAGGTTTTGTGTACCAGCGGGATTAGGGACGGGGATGTCAGGAACATATCTATTCGTGAGTACGAGTTGTGGGGGTGAGAAAAAAAAGTGAAATCTACTGTGAGGGGGTGTTGCAGTCGCCAGACGTCTACCAACCCCGATCTCGCCAGGAAGGACTGCAGGAGTTTATCTGATTTCGCCACCGGTGGGTGGAGAGAGTCCCTCTGGGCTTGTTTCTTCCTGTCTTGATCTGGGGCCAAGACCGCATTAAAGTCCCCGCCCAGGATAACGTGGTGAGATGGGAAGAGGTTCAGGTGAGCCTGTAGGGTTTCCCAGAACTGAGTTGATGGGGTCGTGGGGGCATAAACCGACGTAATGGCGTATTTATGTGAGCCCAGGTGACCCGCTACTGTCAGATATCTCCCAAGGGGGTCTGCAACTGTGTTCGTCAGGTGAATGGGGCATGACCCACGGATTAGAACAGCAACCCCATTTTGCTTGCCCAAAGGCGAGTTCGCTAAGTGGTATTCTGTGAAGTGTCGATTGCGTAAGGGGAACGCCCTGGATTGCTCGAAATGAGTCTCCTGGAGGAGGACGACATCTGCCCCGGTCCTGCTGGCCCACCGAAGGACCCGATGCCGCTTATCTGGGTTATTCAAACCCTTACAGTTTATTGAGACACAGTTAAGTCGAAGCGGGGCCCTCTCTGCAGTAGGTCCCCGATTGTTCGGATTGTCCTGGACCCCCAGGGGCATGACGCAAACCAGCCGGCAAGCGAGGGGGGGATGAACCAATGCCACCCGCCTGGGTCAGTAGAAGGGGGGAGAGGCGAGCTAGGGAGAAAAAATAAAAATAAAAAAAAGGGTGGGGAATAAGGAGAGGCCTGGGCTTAACAGAGGAATGCCAGGCCACAGAGGCGGAAGGGCCTAGTGGGGATATGTGGTGTGTAACTGCCCCGAGTTGGGGTCTCGAAGAATGTGAGTGTGAGTGTGGGGGGAAAGATGTACCGCTACCATCGGCCTCTTCCCCCCTGTAAGGCGCCTACTGGAAGTGCCTGGCACGAGTTTATATGGTATGGAGAACATTTGGTAACGCTATCTATTGCAGTATGTAGTGCTGCGTGTCCAAGACCGGCACCCTAGGTGCCGGGTAATCCAAGGAAGGTCACCCTAAAGCTGTCAGGAGTTCTATGCTGCGCTTCGTCAGTCCCAAACTGTGTGCCTCTTCTAGGATCTTTTCAGAAAGGCCTGTTTTCCCTGCGTGCGCACTAGGGCCAAGTCCAGTGGGTCTTGGGGGATGTTCCCGTCTTCCCGTGGGGGACCTCTACCGTACCCGGCCAGTCGGCTACATGACCCGTCCATCCCTCCCTTCCCCCCCCTCTAGCCCCCCCGTAGTCCAACATCCTGCTAACCCCGTAGTTGACTCCCCCCCCCAGAGTTCACTCTTCTTTTGCCATGCAGAGAAGTTCATTTGCAAGAGTCCGTGAGTCCACTTTTCCCACCCTCCCCCTCCTCTTCCTCCCCCTCTTACATTCTGTTCCTTTCCTTCCCGTATCTGTTTTCCCCCCTTCTGTCTGTTCGTGAATGTGAAGACCCCTATGCACTCCCGTGTCCCCCTATGTGTCCCCGTCTTGGGATCTGCTCATACCTGTCTCATAGGTCGGTTCCCCTCAATCCCGATGGTGCTCCCAACCCCCTAGGTTCTGTCTCTGTGTGATGTCCATCCCGTACCCTCCCATTCCGTTACTCCTATGGTGTGTGTGGTGGGATGAGAAGAGTGCCCCGCGTATCCTACCCATGTGGTTATAGTTTGAAGCTGCCCCCCTACCCCCCCCCAAACACTAAACAATGTACTCTAACCTCTCCTCCCTCCAGGACTCCCCCGTCGCTGCAACCCTCTCCTAGCCTATCTCTCTATTCCTTCCGTTATTGCGCCCACTGAGCATGGTTTCTAGGCTTTCTTCTCTCACCCGCAGTCTGCTGGCCGTACCCCTCTTATCCCGCCCGAGGCCCCCCTGACAGGCCCCCTCTCCACTCCTCTGCAAGGTAAGTCCCCCTATCCCTACCAGCCCCCGTGCCCTTCACCTGGCCGTCTACCTAGTGCTCCTGTTACCTATAACCCACCCTAACCCCCATCCCCCCCCCAACCCTCCCCAGGTGCTCACAGTTTGTACAGATTGATCAAAAGAGCAGCAGAGTCCCAACGTGTCGCGCCGACTGCGCGACCCTCCAGGGTGAAACTCCCTCCTTCTAATTCTGCATTTGCCGTGGTTGTCTTCTGGGGCTCCGCTCCACCTCCGACATCCTCTTCCTCGGTGTGCGTCGCGGCCCGTTGTCTGCTCCGTCTGCCGCAGATCCCGGTCCTCTCCCCATTCCCGCCATCCTCTGCACTGGTGGTGGTAAAAGCTCTAGACCCAGGGAAGCCGCGAAGGGGGCCATCTCCGAAGCGCTGCTCAATATGAAGGTCTGATCTTCTTTACGGACCACCAACTTGAACGGATGACCCCACATGTATTTAATGCCATAATGGGCAAGTGTGGTTGTGAGTTGCCGGAGGTCTCTCCTCTTCTTAAGGGTCGAGGGTGCCAAGTCGTGAAAGAAGGCCAGATTTCGGTTCCGGTATGATGGCGGATGTTGCCGCGCTTTTTGCAAGAGCTGTTCCTTTATAGGGAACCGGTGCATGCGGGCGATGACGTCTCTCGGGGTATCCGGATTCAAGGTTGGTGCTCTGAGAGCCCGGTGCACTCGGTCCATTGCCAGGTCCCCCTCCGATGCCTCAGGTAGCAGGGAGCGGAAAAGGTCGGTGATGGTGCTGTGTAGGGCTTCGTGTGTCACCGTCTCTGGGAGCCCCCGGACCCGAATATTGTTGCGCCGTGAACGGTTATTCAGATCCTCCAGCTCCTCCTCCAGAGTCGCGATTTTACCGTGCAGGTAAGTGAGATCTTGGGAGTGAGAGCTGGAGGTCTCCGCTAGGACTGTCAGACGGGTCTCCGCCTGATGAGTGCGGC